GCCACCTAGCCTACCCCTAACGGGAGGCATAGGGGAAAGGGGTGCGACGGCTCCCTAACGGCCTAGGGGGAGGCAGGGAAGGCGAGGGAGGGAGAGAAACGTATAGAAAAATAAAGAAAGGACAGCGAAGCTGCTTCTATGTATTATAAAATAAAATATTTTAAACAGGCGCTAGAAGACGGCATAAAAGGAGGTAATAATATAAGGTTAATTTAATTAGGTAAATTAAAATTACTCATTTTATATTAAGCCATGTATAAATAATAAGGTCTTTTAGTATAATGGTCGTACAGCTACCCTTCAAGTAGCTAGTATCAGTTCAATTCTGATAAAGATCACTTTTATATTTAAAGCAGCTTCGCATCCCGTTAGGGTCCTAAGGGCATCCAGCCCGTATTTAAATATCAAAAAATAAATAAATATATATTGGAAATATTTAATTTATTTAATTAATTTAAAAATAATTAGAGAGCTAAAATGAAATGAAGATAATCAGAAATATAAGTATAAAAATAAGCTTCTAGCTTATTAATTTAAAAATAAAAGTTTTATGAGTTCCTGGTTGTCTTCAACAAATGCTAAAGAGATAGGTACTCTATATTTAATCTTTGCAGTATTTGCTGGTATGATAGGTACAGCATTTTCTGTTTTGATTAGATTAGAACTATCTAGTCCTGGTGTTCAAATATTACAAGGTGATCACCAACTATTTAATGTAATAATAACTGCACACGCATTCATTATGATTTTCTTCATGGTTATGCCTGCATTAGTAGGTGGTTTTGGTAACTACTTATTACCAGTTCAAGTGGGAGCTCCGGATATGGCTTTCCCTAGATTGAATAATATCTCATTTTGGTTATTACCACCTGCACTAATATTATTATTATTAAGTTCTTTAGTAGAAAATGGAGCAGGAACAGGATGGACTGTTTATCCTCCTTTGGCCGGTGTTCAAAGTCACTCTGGTGGAAGTGTAGATCTAGCAATTTTTAGTTTACACTTGGCTGGAGTATCATCTTTACTTGGTGCTATGAATTTCATAACTACAGTATTGAACATGAGAACAAACGGTATGAGCCTACACAAATTACCTTTATTTGTATGGGCTATATTTGTTACAGCAATCTTACTACTATTATCACTACCGGTATTAGCCGGTGGAATCACAATGCTTCTTACAGATAGAAACTTTAATACTAGTTTCTATGATCCTGCTGGAGGAGGTGATCCTATCTTATATCAACATCTTTTCTTAAGCGTCGAAGACGCTTTAATTATTTATATGTTGACTACACCTTTTGTAAAACCTTCTTCTAGTTCTCGATCATTTAATTTTGATTATTTTTATACATATTATTCTAAATTTTATCCTAATAATTCAAAACCATCAAAAGATTTCTTAGAATGGTTTATTGGATTTACTGAAGGGGACGGATCATTTATTGTTACTAAACGAGGTAATATTCAATTTGTTATTACTCAAAGTACTTCAGATGTACAAATATTGTATTATATCATGAAAAATCTTGGATTTGGTAAAGTTATTCAACAATCTAAATCTAGTAATACTCATCGGTTTATTGTTCAAGATATGCTTAATTTATCACTTATTTCTCTTATTTTTAATGGTAATATGGTATTCTTTACACGAAATACTAGATTTTTAACTTTTCTTTCCGTATTTAATGATTTAGCTTTACGTATGCAGCTTCGCATAGACAATATTATACCAATTACTGATACTGTCTTACCTAATTTAAATGATTCTTGGTTAGCTGGATTTACTGATGCTGAAGGATGTTTTACTCTTTCTTTACTTTCTAATAGTTTAGGTTATCGATTTAGATTTATATTAAGTCAAAAATGGCAAGTAAATAAATGCATATTAGAACATTTTACCTTATTGTTTACAGTAGGGGCAGTATCTCCACATTCAAAAAAAGACCAATGGGATTTTATAATTAATGGTGTAAAAAATTGTAATTATATTTTTTCTTATTTTGATGCTGCGAAGCAGATTACGTACAAAAAAATTTAAATCTTATTTATTATGGAAAGAATTACAATCAAGACTAATTAAAGGAGATCATCTTAATCCTTTAACTAGAGAGGATATGAAGAAACAAGCTAAACATATAAATAAAAATTAAAGCTAGAAGACGGGGAAAACAGAGAATGCTTTAGCTAAAGCTATGAAGCCTAATAGGCAGATGTTAAATAAAATATTTAAAGACCTATACGTCTATCCCGATCCCGATCCCGATCCCTAGCCTTTAGGCATAGGGGAAGGGGAAGGGGCGCATGGCTAGCAGGCAAATGCGTTAGAAATTCTATATATTATTTCAGCATAGCATTACTCTAGTCCTTATCTATATTCCACTATGTAATTCTTAGAAAAAAATAACTTAAAGTTTCTCTCGAAAAAGAGGGAAGTGGTATGATAAGTTTTACCTGACAGGGTAAAATAACCCGGCTACGCCGGGTTAGGCTATACTAGTGTAATTTACGGTCAACAGTATTCTCAACTAAAGACCGTCGGTTTTCTAAGAAATCGCTACAGACTGGGTCACTGGTGGGTATCTGAAATGATGCTTAATGTACAGTCGGTTCCTCCATCAAATTAAATTTAAAACTAACCAAATAAAAATTATTTTGATCACAAGGCTATTAATGAAGCTATAGTTAAACTAAAATCTGTCCTATTTTAGGGGACACTAATAGAAATAGATAGTACCTGGACCTAATTCGAGAATAAAATAAATTAGGTTTGGAGGAATGGGTTCTTTGGACACCCAGAAGTTTATATTTTAATTATACCTGGATTTGGTATAGTTAGTCACGTTGTATCAACATTCTCAGGTAAACCTATCTTCGGTTATCTAGGTATGGTTTATGCTATGTTCTCTATCGGAATATTAGGTTTCCTAGTTTGGTCTCACCATATGTTTGCTGTTGGTTTAGACGTGGATACTAGAGCTTACTTTACTGCAGCTACTATGGTTATTGCTGTTCCTACTGGTATTAAAATATTCAGTTGGATAGCTACTTTATATGGTGGTAGCTTAAGATATACTACACCTTTATTATTCACTTTAGGATTCTTAGCTTTATTCACAATAGGTGGATTAACTGGTGTTGTTTTAGCTAACGCATCAATGGATATTGCATTACACGATACATACTATGTAGTTGCACATTTCCACTATGTATTATCTATGGGTGCTGTATTCGCACTATTCGCAGGATTCTATTTCTGGACTCCTAAAATTATTGGATTAACTTATAATGAATTATTAGGTAAAATACACTTCTGGATTATGTTTGTTGGGGTTAACTTAACTTTCTTCCCTCAACACTTCTTAGGATTAGCTGGTATGCCAAGAAGAATCCCAGATTATCCTGATGCCTTTTCAGGATGGAACACTGTATCTAGTTTTGGATCATTAATATCTGTAGTTGCTACAGTATTATTTGGTTACATTATTTATGATATTTTTTCTAATGGTAAAGCTGTAAATAATAATCCTTGGGCAGTACCTTCATATTATACATCTACTGTTTTATTTAATAGTGAAACAGAAACTGCTAATACATTAGAATGGGCTTTAGCTAGTCCTATTCCATTCCATGCATTTGAAATGTTACCAGTACAATCTTAATATTTTTTATATATTATAAAATATAATTACGGCGTAGCCGCCTACGGCGGCTCCGCCGTTATAGAAAAAATACAACAAAAATTTAACCCCCCCCCC